TTGTCATGACAAAATGTCATTAAGCAGTTGCTGAACGTGAATGTACGGCATGAAGCCAATTTCCTGAGAAAGCCGAGTGAAATTTCGACCGTTGCCATGTTATGACAGTTTGAAAGTTACGACCCGTTCTTGTCTTGTTAGCGCGCTAACATTGTTATAAACGAATAAGTACAGAGAATACGAGTCTGATATCTTTAGATTACTGCGTTGCCCGCTGAAAGAATATCCTATGCGAGTTATCAAGTTGGACACTTGTCATGGCAACAGAATAGTCTAACGATTATAGTTTTTAAGGCTCGAAAAAACTAAGTTTTTCTTCATTTTTCCACGAAAGAAATAGAAAAAACCGCGAAACATGTGAGAAAAACCAGTTGTTTCAAGTTATACTAACCAACTTTTGAGCTATACCAACAACATAGTTAAATATCCTCTGAAATAAATATCTCGCAAATCTCTGTCAGTTGTCACGAAATTGTTGATGATGAGACACCTTTTAAGGAACTCAACAATTAAATTAAAAGTTTAGCAATATCATAAATAATTTATTATTAACAGTATGTAGTGAATAAATATTGAGAATTAACGCGTATCGCGATTGTGTTACATAATTATTTGTAAGATATCGTTTGCATTATTTTTGATCATTGAGTTTTTCGTAATGCTATATATTTTTTTTTATTTCCCTCTACATCAGAAAGGAGACTCTGATTAGGAAACTTTGATTTTATATTTGTTTTAGAACAATGTATTCAACTATGTAACGTTTTAACCGATAGTCTTACACATAGTCCGTTATATTTGGCGATATAGTGATTTACACGACAAAAGAGTCCTTTTTTGTGCAACTACAATAGGCGCAGCTTGACTTCGTGACTTGATGGAAGCACTTTCCAATAATAGCCGGAGAAACTAGATTTAAAGGGACACTCTGGAATTTTACCTAGTCCCTTCGTTTATCAAGCAGCCCGCCGTTGGACGTAAAACGTAAACGCCACTGGAACGCAGGTGCGCGCCTTCGATGTATTTGTATCGGAGCGCAAGCAGGTAGAATATTTTCGAAGATTGCCTCAGCCGGTGAACGAGCGAGCGAACGTAAAGAAGGAAGTAACACCTGTCGCGCGGTACAGTCCGTGAAATTGCCGGACGAACTTCATGGTACAGCAATTTATTTATATTCTAACTCTACGCATCGTACATAAATCGCAAAAGAATAGTGAACATTTATTATTTAAATTCCTGATTACGTTTCTCACAATTCAGTTAAATTAATTAACACACAAACCCGCAGAAAATTTATAATTCTCACCTCAAGTAGTTCATTCTAAAGAATAGATTGTGACAGAAAATAACTGAGAAACGTGCTTTGAACTTGCATGAACATTCCTAAGCAGTTCTTGTGTAATTACGGATACTTGGTGAAGGAAGTGCTTCTTTCCATCGACACAATGCGTCGATGGGAATTACACGCTCCGTACTTCTACCCGTCTACTAATGTTCCCTTGTTGGTCAAATCAGTGTTTTCCGTTGAAAAGTCCGGAAAGTCTCACGAGAAGTTCTACAAGTAATTGCGGGAATTCGCCGCAAGTACCGAGGTCATATTAAACATAATGGAGAGGCTAATCTCTTATCTTTTGATATCGTGTAAAGATTTTAAATCACGTAACAAAAATTTTCCATTTTGAAATTCAATCGATTTTATGATCTTCGACATTGATTATCTGATCTTTTAAATTGATTATTGCTTTCCGAAGTTAGATAAAATTGTAATATTACATAATAGATTTATATCGATTTCATTATCTATCTAATCTATCTAATCTATCTATATAATCTATATATCTATATAATCTATATAATCTATATATATATATATATATATATATATATATATATAATTTCCTTTACAGTGAACATATGCTTTAATAAGCGACAATACATGTACATATATATACATACGGAAAAAAAATCTAGTTGCATTATCCAGAAAGAGGACGGCCAGGTGCATTTTGGTTAAGAGAGACAGAATTTCTGGTTCTTATGACCCGAATGTGGTTTTACAGAAATTCTGTTTCAATCAAAATGCATCTGGTTATTCCTCTCTTTCTGATTACACACAACCAAATTTCTTTTCCGTGTATAAACGAGAATACAAATCGCTTGAATAACTAATACTCTTCCTCGACATTTCCAAAAAAGAAGAAAGTAATTACACGTATTCACATTAGCGCATTGCAACACGGTATATTTATCATCATCGATCTCCCCGACGTCACTATTAGGCGCCCACGAGCCGAGGGGCTTTGCGAGGCTCGACCTCGGAAATCTCGCAACCTCCCACGACATCGGAGCTCACGCTTCAACCCTTTCCCTTCGCCTTTATTCGAGCCAATCGGGAGATCACGGCACGTTCCCGCCTCGGAGAGCCCATAAGGCCCCGGCGTCGTCCGCAATCACTTCACGTCCCACGAGTGGCCGCCATATTGTTAGTGTACGCGATTTTCACGCGAGTCATACTCGCGTCGGAACTCGCGTGGGAGAAAATGGATACATTCGCTCAATGACCCACGCGAGTTTACGATCCGGTATACGTCGACAAGTTCGCGAGTCAGACCGTGGACCCCGCAACGGACGGAGCAGATTCAACAATGAATTAGTCGTGGCTTCCGGATAGAAATCTCGGGAGATCGTCTCACCGGGCGACGTCATAGCGAGAAGGGACCGACCGGGAGTAAGGAAAGAGAGATACTTGTTGCCACTGTTGACGGATAAATTGAAAGTAATTCGAAATGTGAAATACTTAGCGATATATAAAAAAGAAAATAATTATAGGGACGGTTGTAACAATACGATATGATTATGATTAACATTACAGGTGTAAAAGAAGAAAATGATGCGATGGCACCAACAGTTTAATTGAATCTTCCAAGTTAACGCAAAGACATTGCACACACACACACACATATACACATACTATAATACAAAGATAATAAGGATAATAAGGTCGTAAACGAGATCGTATCCCACGCAACAAAGCAGCGTCACTAGCTTGTGACTGGGACACGACGTGACCTCGCGGTATCAACACCGATCGAGATGCAACGATCCCCGAATTAGGCGCAAGTTTCACCTCGGTCGGTCGGTCGACTGGGTACGGCACTGGGCATCCATCCCAGTGAAATGCGGCCCCGCGGCGAGAAAAACGGGGACCCGGCGTGCGGCGACGGCAGCGACCGAACGAGCCAGGGCATTACCAGCGCGGTGTGCGGCAGTCTCACGGCGACCGGTAAGAGGCTTTCGTGAGGAGGACGTAGATCACGACGACGGCGAGCGAGCCCCTGAAAACTGGGCCCGACGATTGGCCCACGTTGCAGCCGGCGCGATCGACTTGACAGCGCGCGGAATGCGCGTGTTTTGCAAGAACGCAAGTCGGGGGGAAGCTCCTCAGCGGCACCGCGACAACGAAGACGATGGTCGTAGGCCGAGGATACGGCGCGAGTTAGGCGATTATGCCGGCGGGATGACAGTTACGCAGAGACCGAATCGCTCAGAGACGAACGATCCGCGCTTTCGGGGTTGAAACAGCACGATCGGGGTGACCGGCGATCGCAGGTGATGAGCAAGATGTGCGATATGTGAGTACTGATAAGCAATCGGTGTGACTCGTAACTTCGCAGGAATCGACGCCCGTGGCGAAGAGGAGAGACGTGTAGTGTGTTAATGTGCTGACAAACAGGAGTTTGTGTGATGACTGATGTTCGATTGGTACCGAGGCGACGGGAGTTCCTTGGGACACGTAGCGAACGCTGACAGGCAGGTGATTGGAGTGACCGCCGCGCGCTATCGTGGAATCGCGAAGAAGAAGGTGTCCTCCTCCCCTCGCGAAGTCGAGAAGCAGCGGAGGACGCGTGGATGCTGAGAGAAAATCCGGCTGCGACTCCGCTGGAACTTTCGCTACGCCGAGGCGAAGGGTGCCCCTTTTCGTGCGGAGCAGCCGGGGGAGAAAGAGAGACGGGAGACGGGTGAATGCCGATAGAGGGGAATCGGCGTTGCTCGTGGCACTGTGCCGGGGATTAGTGGACGAGAGAAAGAGAGAGAGAAACTGGTATGTCGATTGTCAGCGGCTCACACGGGCTTAATGCGAAGGCTGCGATTGTGCGATCGCGACGGTCCCCGTCGCGAGTGACGCTCGTGGACGCGTGTGCGCGGCTTGAACGGGATCACGGTGGCACGACGCTGCTGGTGTGTGTGTGTGTGTATGTGTGAACGATGAATAGTGTTTGACGTGTACGCTCTATAAATGTATTCGTCGAATATATTTGAACACGTACCGAGCGGCGAATACCTCAGGACAACGATGATGTTGCCCGACTTGTTGTACGACGATCGATTTACCTCCGAAGTGATAACGTGACTCTCTCTCTCTCTCTCTGACTGTCCGATCGGACTTTCCGAGGTTCACAGTGCGCGATTCGTGGTGTACACTCGTGGTTATCACGTGCTACCATAATTTCACCAATTTCTTCATAGCGCCCGGTTGCGCGTCGCGTGACTACTCGGAAAAAGAGACAACTGCCAGTCCAATTCTTTCATCTCCGGCTGATCGTCGGGTAATTAGCTGACGGGAGATAACCGCTTCTGTGTAGCTCCCTTTGTAGATCTCACGAAGCTGGCTTTACGAGACGGTCCGGACAGAAGGAACCGGTCATAACTGAGTCATAGCTAACGGATGACGCGACTCTCGCTAGAGATTCCTTCGGCGAGTATCGCGGAAAATTGACGGACTCTTGGCGAGAGCTCGCACGACACGCGACAGCGAGGCGCCGTTGGCAGGTGTTCGGTGCGAGAAGCGCGCGAAAGAAGACGAGAGAGAGAGAGACGAGAGCAGAGGAAAAGGAAGAAGAAGAGGAAGAAGAAGAAAAGCAGAAATCGGCCGAGAGAGTAGCGCGTCGCACGAGTAGGGCCCCCTACGGCGATAAGGCGAGGCCCGTGGAGGGAAACGCATGTATCGCGCGGGGCCGGTCGCGCGGACCGGGCCTGTTCGTGAGAGACCGCGCGCTGACCCAGATTTCGGCGGGTCGAACGAGGCGAGCCGGCGCGAGGAGACCGCGGCGGACTTTCTGAAATGGGACACGGCGCAGCCTGGAGCTAAATTAGCCGCGATGTCCAATAAGAGTAAGTCCCAGCCGCAGCAGCATCAGCAGCAGCAGCATCCTCCGCACGTGATCAAGCCAGTGGACCAGCTGCCGCCGCGTTACCAGCCGCCGCCGCAGCCGACCAGCGGCATCCTGAAGAATCACCTCCACTTCGCCAGCGGAGCGTCGTCGGCGCCGGGCCAGACCGGCAGCAGTCAAGGTCCGGGCGCGGCCTTGAGCCATCATCAGAGCGCGCAACCGCGCACCTTGCCGTCCTCGCAGCAGCCGGCGCAGCAGCCGACGCAGCAGCCATCGCAGCAATCGCAGAAGGATGCGCAGAGCAAGTATTCGCCGAGAATAGAGCACCGTCACCATCATCATCATTCTCAGCCGGCGAACGCGCTGATCGCCGCGTCGGCGGCGTCCAAGCCAGCCTACCTCCAGCAGCCCAAGCTCGGCCAAGGCCCGTACTTGCCGCCCAGCAGCCAGTACCCGGCGGTGAGCAGCGGCCAGAGCGTGCCCATCAGGCAGAGGATCAGCGACGACGAATTCCTGCGACTCGGCCCCGTGGAGATGCTCAAGTTCGTGCGGAAGACCGAGAGTGACATCGCTAGGCTCGCCGCCGAGCAGAATCGCCAGATACAGAGCTTGGTGAGTGCCTGTCGAATTTAACGACTCTCTCGGAATCTGTCGTCTACCAGGTCGTAAAACCTCCGTCGGAGCGTAAATTGCGTAAAGAAAGTCGCCGCTTATCTGGAGATCGTCTGATTTTACGATTAGATCTCGAATGAAAAGCAAACGGAATTCTTCGTTAAATGTAACGGAGATGAGATGAAAGATCCAATTCGATTGAATTGACGTCAAGTCGAAATCCGAATTAAATTGAATTGCGAAATCAAATTGAAATTCTACCGGAACGAAGCCCGTGACGTTGAGTGAAACAATTTAGATACCTCGGACGTTGGCGAATGTCCGCGGAAAAAATCGATTTCCGATGTTGCCGCTTTACTGTAATTTGTCGCGCGCGTGTCATCTTATTACGAAGTATTTCGTAATATTTTTCGGACGTGCGTTCTTGGGATCTTTCGCGCGCTACACGGAAGTTTTGGGGAGGCTGTTGTAGGTCATACAGGTTGAGCCGACCGTCGTAATTTCAAGGAGTCACGCATACGTGCGAGATAAACCGCAAACGATCGCGGGGACAATCGGTTCCCTTTTGACCGGCAAGATGCCGAGACTTTATCGAGACGACGACGGTCACGCATCCTCCGTACGCGCGCGTGATGAACGCGCGGGGACTATTTTTTTTGGGCATTCCGCGTGTACCACGCGGCGGCGAATACGTCACCCGTGAGAGATCAATGACTCCGTTATTTCTCTCGCGTGCCGATTAATAATGCAGGAGCTATCCGGCTGAATGAGAGATGTGGGGATATTGCGTACGGCGACTGTGTATACTTAAATACGTGAATGCGCGGCGCGTTAATAATTTCGGGGGGAGGAGGGGGGAGGGTGATACACGCGCCGTTATCGAAATGCAAAATCTTGCCTCCGAAGCCACTGTCTGTCAACGTGAAATCCGAATTAGCAATTCCTTTTTTCGAAATTTATACGAACACACGAGCGAATATTTTCACGTGGGTTTGAATTTACGTCATCCGGTTTCCGCGCTCGTGTATCAAGATATAAAATTCTCTCTCTCTCCTTTCCTCTCTCCGCCTATCTTTCTCTTTCTCTCTCTCTCTCTCTCTCTCTCTCTCTCTCTCTCTCCGCCGAGGAACGGACTTTTTGAAGGCTTCGAGAACCGCAAAGTGAGAGCGCGACTTGATAAGGCTATCTGTTTTCCAGCTGAATGAGCTGCGGGCGCTGAAGGAGGCCAACCAAAGACTGAACGACGATAATCAAGAATTGCGCGATCTCTGCTGCTTCTTGGACGACGACCGACAAAAGGGCCGCAAGCTGGCGAGAGAGTGGCAGAGGTTCGGCCGATACACAGTGAGCGTTATGCGCCAGGAGGTCTCGGCTTACCAGAACAAACTGCGCCAGCTGGACAACAAGCAGCAGGAGCTGATTAAAGACAATCTCGAGCTCAAAGAGCTGTGCCTGTATCTCGACGAGGAGCGTGGCGGCGGCCAAAGGGACGACGGGGATGGATCGAGTTCGAGCACGAACGCCGAGGAGACCGCGCCGCCGAGACCGAGGCACACTTCCACATTTAACGGTAAAATCTAGCAAAAACACTGATCATTTCACTTTGAAGCTTTCGTGTTTCTTCCTAGTTATTCTCATGTTTATCTTTATTATGCTATTTTTTCCTCTTCGGTTCGTCGCGAGAACAGCGTTTAATTTTTACATCTAAATTAAGCTCCAACTTTAAGGGCTGGTTGCTCCATCTTCAGATGAGTTGTGTGGTAATTTGTCTAATCGATAAAAATGTTTAAAGAGAGTTCCCCTACGGGAAAAAACTACAAGAATACGAAAAAATTATTGGTAATAAGAATAATAATAATATATTTTAAAACGAGCTCGGGTCTATACAAGGAAACGTGTCAATTTTATACGAAGAATAATAATCTCTTTCTCTCTCTCTCTTTCGTAATTTGCCTGGCGGAAATTGAAATCCTAACGAAAGCGGCGCGGTAATACCCGTGATCTTAGCAGAGATCGTAAATATAGATCATATTCGGATGAAAGTGTAACATTAGAATGCACTGCCTGCATTTTATGCCTTGCAATCGTATGAATAGCGTGCGCGTTTTATGCACCCGACCGCGGTTACGCACGGATGTAGTATCCGATGATCTTCTTGCACACGCTGAGAGGTGTTACCTACCGACGAATCTTTCACAGACCAAACCATGCAGTACGTGAGGAGTTTGGAGCAACGGGTGAAGCAGTTGGAGGAGGACAAAAGCGTTCTCCAAGCCCGTGCGCAAGGTTGGGAGGTACCATCGGGCGAAGTCTGGGAGAGCCCCAGCAGTCCGAGCGATAATCCTCATCTGGGAAGTCGACCGGAAGCCGTGGTGCGCGCTCTTCAGGTTCTCGAGGTCAGAGAACAGTTGGAAAGAGAGGAGGGTCACGACGGTGAGAAGGCGCTGGTCCGAGAAATGTGCAATGTAAGTAAACGTTGTCACCTCTCGACGTCGTACAGTGCACGGTATACTATACCATTTTCTAAACGGAGAATTACACGATTTTCAGCCTTACGCATAATGCCCATAAAGTTGAAAATCGCAGAAGTAACTTATAACGATAGGGTTATACAGTGGCTGTAATCGTAATAGTTTCGACATTATATGTGAAGGGCTAATATTTGTGTAACATTAAAAAGTTTCCGTCTAGGGAATGGTATAATGTTGTGTCAATTAATATTGTCCCATTTTCTAGGCATAGTAATATCGGAAATGTCGAATTAGACTTATTGTTTCGGAATATTCTGAATATTCTGAATTAGTGCATCATGACTGCTGATTATCTTGCGAACCGGCAAAGATGGCAAAACAGCAGTCATAATGCGAATATTCAGAAATGATGCACCCAATTCGAAATTTTCAATATCACTGTGGAATGGGATAGCATTAATGCACGGCACTGTACATACAACATACGTGACGTCGATTGTACACACACTGTACACACACAGTTGGCAGATTAAAGTTTGCAATACTTTTTCTTCGATAAAATTTCGCAACGCGCCTCCTATTGAATAGAAAAATGAATCTCTCCGAGAATTACGGAGAAACAAATCCTCCTATTGGACATGGGAGGATTCGCGAGTTGCGAGTTGAAAAAAAGTGTTGCAATCTTTAATCTGCCGACTGTGAGTGCGTGATCCTTTCGAAAAATCCTTCGCGTTAAACCAGCGAGAATTAGCGATTTCTTGTGATATATTTATGATCAATTGTTCTGGCTTTTTCAGGTTGTCTGGCGAAAATTGGAGGAGGGTCCACAAGCGAGGCATTAGCGATCGCGCATCGGCCATCTGTCAGATTTTAAATATTATTGATACAAAGCGTACGGTGTGTGAAGATGAACGTTTGAAATGTAACGATAGTATTGTAGTATATGATGTAAACGGTACTGTGTATATGTGCGTGCGTGTGTGTGTGTAGATTCTGTATGTGTACACTCGTTTGCACGGCATCATTTTGGCACATGCTTTTTTGCCCGACAAAATTAGAAGCGTGTCGAATGGTCACGAGCCACCGCTCTCTTGTTAATATATTGTGACAGAAGTCGAGTGACAGTACACGGTGTAAATAGTAGCCCTTTATTTACTCTTAGTTGATAAAGATAAAAATATTTAAAAAATACAGAAAGATAGATCGGTTGAGTTAATTTTAATCGGTTGAATTTATTCCGGCGGAAGGATATAGAATGTCTATTCTTTTCCAGAAATTCTATTCCCTTCCACCTTCATCAATGCGCTTCATTGTGTCGTGTTACGTCACGTAGTTATGCCATGTTAATCCAATCGATCTTTCTTCCCTGCATTTTTCCCGAATCTTCCGTTGCAGTCAACGTCAGATGTCTCGTACACCATCACTTCGAATCCTGTCATAACCGATTACAACGCAAGTTCGCGAAGAGCGGGGACTCGCGATCGTGACCATTCGATACGCCTTTCAGCGGGAGGAACGTGTGCGAATCATTGCGCAGACGAATGTTTGAGAGTGATAGTTATCTCTCGATACGAGAATACCGATAACATGTGTCTATTTATGCGGAGATTGTAGCCTCGTTAGCTGTTGGCCAGATTGACTGTTAACAGAGTATTTTTTATTAGACGAAGTCTACGATTTACTCTCCTCCCGTTTCTCTTCCGCTCGCTCGGTCCGAAAACGGAATTTCCGAAACGGATTCGAACGCATTCCCGAAATATCCCACCCGGCCTTTTCAATCGGCAGGACTGAAGGCACCCACCCGACTCAGCGCGTAAGCTCACAATTTAACATCTGTCTTTCGCATTCGCCGCTTAATTACCCATGCACGGGTTTACTTAAAGTCGCTTTTCACGATAAGATACCCAGGCGGAGTTCACGCGTTGAATACGCAAGCGAGTGTTTGTATTACTATTTTTATCTCGTCAAAGGATTTGCTCTCAATGGTACCGCGTCGGATTGCCCTACATACATCCCGGTCTTCTGAGCGTTGCGCGGAACGTCAATGCGATGCAATTAAGATATTTCTCAATCTCGTATCGGTCAATTTTATCGACTCGTCGTCGCTCCTTCGGTATCCTTTCCGCGTGAGCGTGGAGAAACGCAATCGCCAATTGGAAATTCACTCGACACACGAGGGGGATTCGCGAGACTCGCGGCGACAAATTAACGTGTTTCCCTCGACAGAAAAATTGAATTATCCGACGATACACGTATGGTCAGTCACAAAAGAATACTTTCTTTACGTAAATTTCGAAAGGCACTCCGTGTTGTCAATGGCAGGATTTGTTTTTTAGTAATTCTAAGGAAATTCATCTTGCTATTGGATATACGAAATGCGCGTTGCGAAATTCGGGATAAAAGTCTTGCAACCTTTTTTGTAATCGACCATACACCGAGAGAAATTATATTATTTCCCGATTTTTTTCCGAGGATTCTTTCGGTTTCCTATCTTCTTTGCGGAAAATAATTAATACGGCTGGTTTTAACCGAACACACATGAATTTTCCTGAACGAATTTTTCTACCCCTTAGGACAGAAGATTCAGGGGAAAAATAGAATAAAAATCGGGTCTCTTCCGATCTTGTAAAACTACAGTGGATACTTACTAGAAAAATGGTTTCTCCTGACTATAATTCGTTCGCTGATGATGATTATAGTTACAAATACTAAATATTTGTCTTTCGATGTACACATTTTCACAAAACCTCTCGTTCGTCACGTCGCGGATGCGGCATCTATGTGTGTGCTGGAAAGAGGAAGTGTGCTTCAAATCGCTCTCCTCGCGTCCTTGTATTTATTCGCAAATTCCTCTCGGCCGAGCTTGCGCCGCTCCGGGTGAAGAGCGGCGGTGGGGATCGCGTGCGGCCACCGGCGTCGGAAAGATGAGAGTCACCGGTGATGTGCTTGTGCGGAGGCCTCGCGGAGGACAACGCCAGGTTCATCCTCCTCGCCGTCGTCCTGGTGGCGTACATGCTCGCAGGCGCGGTCCTCTTCCAAAGGCTGGAGAGTGATTTTGAAACACGGCAGGTACAGGCAGACAGTGGCCACGCGTGCACGCCGCCGCGAAGAAATTCGGAAATTGTGCGTTCCCGGTGAACATCTAGTGACAGTAAGGGCCTTGGCAGAATGATCGAAGGGCCTTGGCAGAATAGCTGACTTATCGACACAAGATTACGTTTTACGTCTTTAAGTCTTTGTCTAAGGACGTATTGCCGACAAGTCGAATTAATAAAAAAATGATAAAAAGAATATATAAAAATTAAATTACATTGCGTTCAAAAGTGACAGCGTCCAAAAGTTTGACAGTAATTCAGAATCTGGAGCGAAAGTTATTTCATTTTGAAGGAAGTTGTAAGGTAAAACGGATTTGAGAAGAATTCGATGAAATTTGCACTGCATATACATTGAAATATTGCCTAACTCATTACTCGTACAATTAAAAACAGGTTGGCCATTCGAGAGGTGAGATATTAGTAACTGTAGTTGACATTTTTTATACATGTTCCTTGAAATTAGCGTGCAATTTTTAATTTCTATTTTCAATATCTTCTAAACGGAAAATAAAATTTCTATGAAAAATTACTTATGGTACTAATAAGACTAATATGCAAGTATTATACACAAATTTCGGAATTACTGATTTTATTGACTATTTTGTTTTGAAAATATAGCGACGTAAAGTTCACAGTTCACAGTGATACTCGAAATATGTCACTCAATGCTTACCGTCTTCTTACCCTTCCATTGCAATTCTTAAAGAAGAGAAAAGGGAAATTTGAACGAAAATGTATCTCTCGGTGCGGAATTCGGAGACGTCACGGTGAATTTTGTGCGCAAAATACCAGCAACAGATTAGAAATTAGACGCGTTCCACTTAAGTTCGCGATAATTGTCAATTTGTCCACCGACGTGTCCCTTCCGTCTGGATGACAGGCCGCGGAATTTTGGCGGGTTTATCACGCGTTCCGAAGGCACCACCTGCGAGGTAGCCCCTCGGCCTTGCAGAGGCTGCACGAACTCCTGTACGCCTACGGCAACGCTTCCACCACCGGCATCATCAACAAGAGACGCCGCTGGGATTTTCCCGGTAGCTTTCACTTCGTGGGCACCATCGTTTCTACGATCGGTAAGAAACGCAACCGTATTTGGAATGTAAACCCACCGTTCTCGAAGCCGTTCGTATCGTGGCCGGGGGGATATCGGGGTCAGTGGGATTCGTGTCGTGCGTCTCGTATTCTTTCGATTTCCTCCTGTCCACCGAGAAGTCGCGAAAAGATCGATTCGCGCGGAAAGACGGCACGATTTCGTCCGACACTTTCTCCACGTTTGCGGCAATACGCACAAAATTCTTTTGCTTTTTGTTTTTTTCCCTAGAATTAAGTCTAAAAATATAAGCATTTCGCTCTCCGTTTTGCTTATTTCATTATAAAATCGAATAATATCTTACTCCTACGGTTTCGTCGTTAACTGTGTAATATAATTATTAGAGATGCCCGTAAGCACCTAAATATTTCTGAGACTCTTTTAGGGTGGCTTTTATTAAACTCTGATTAATCTAATCGACGATTTGAAATTGCTATCATCCTCGAATGTTACTGTCTTGTTAACGCAGATAGAAATTATTAACTTTTGCATTATTGCCGAACAAGTTACTGAACAAACTAGAGATTGTAGTTGGTAATTCTTATTACTATTCATCGATTAATTTAATCTGAATTTAGTAAAAGTCACTCTTATTCTTATTAGTTTCTACTTCAGCTGTGTGGTACATAAACCGTGTAAGCTAGATGCATGCTATTTGTGTGGGTGGGGCACTTGTCACATGTACCATTGATTAAAAACTAAAAACTTTATCTGTCGATGTAGATGCAAAAAGTGTGCCTATAGATTTTTAAATGTGTTTCATTTGGTGTAACATTCGATTACTCCTAATATCGGCGCACCGTCGGAAAGAGTGGTCGGCGCGCTGAGTTAAGAAGCGATCGCATTCCCGGCAAGTAAAACTTGGTCGTAATTACGCTAAATAAAGGGGTAAGGGTCGTCGGCCGACGTATGCGTGAGAATGTACCGGTGAATTCCGGAATGCTAATATCTTGCGACCCAGTCTCGCACTTATGCCCCCGGCTGTCCGTTGCTCGTCGATCTCTATATGCGTACATATACGTCGCCGTATACATATAATATGCTCTCCTCTCTGAAATGAAAGAGGCGTGATACTCGGACGATTATTTTCAGGATACGGAAGTACCGCGCCGCAAACAACGGCGGGCAAAGCGGCCGTAGTTGTCTACGGTTTCTTCGGTTGTTCCGGTAAGACTACTGTTAGCTGGAAAGGAGCTATTCTAGGAGCTTCTTCGCTCGATTTGATTTCGACGGCATCATAACAAGCGCTGTAATGTGACATCCAGGTGGCATTTTGTTCTTCAATCTGTTCCTGGAGAGGATCATCACGTTCCTGGCTTGGATTCTGCGCAGCTGGCACGTGCGTCGCCTGAAGAGGCGCCTTCGCCGGGCCACGTTGACCTCCCGGCGCGTCTCCAAGTCACCGAGCGCTAATAAGCCATCCTTGCCGGACATCCTCGACGACGACGACAACAACGTAGACTTGGACCAATGGAAACCGAGCGTGTACTGGGTCATGCTCTACTTGTCCGTCACTTCCTGCATCATCGCCTGTTGCGCCGCTGCACTTTACGCACCGCTGGAGGGCTGGGATTACTTCGACGCGCTGTACTTCGCTTTCGTTAGCTTCACCACCATCGGCTTCGGCGATTACGTCAGCACGCAAAAGCCGAGCTATCCCCACGTGCATTGGTGAGTTGCCGAAATCTTTGTCGAAGCGACGAAATCCAAGATGCACGTATAATTTGTATTGAACAATCTGTATGAAAGATAGATCCGGTGAAAGCGATTTTCATCCCCCGTAAAGCTGGATTTCGCGCGTCCACGCAGGTACAGGTTCGCGAATTTCGTCTTCCTGGTGACGGGCTGCTGCTGCATATACTCGTTGCTGAATGTCACGTCGATCGTGATAAAGCAGGGCCTGAATTACGTGATACACAAGCTGCAGTACGGTAATCGGGATGTAGCGGCGCCGTATCTGCCGCGAAGACGATCCTCGGTGTCGGCGATATATTATTCGAAGAGGCGGGCGACCAGACTAGTCGGCAGGGACTCTATCCGGGCGGAGGAGAACACGCCTCGCAGGATGTCCGGCGAGCTGATCTCCATGAAGGACTTCTTGTCGGCGAACAAGGTCTCGCTAGCGGTGATGCAGAAGCAGCTGTACGATGCCGCACAGATGCAGAGGGGCAGCGGGTCGCTCGCGGCCACGCCGAATCATCAGGTGCTGAAGCCGCCGGTCGGCCCGCTTGCGATCGCCAGCGAGAAGTTCGAAAGTAAAAGCACTATAAACAGATAGGGCAGCTGAAGGCATACCGCAGACAATTGCGCTATAGCGATCATTTTTTATTCCACATGTCCACACAAGCGAATTGAGTATGTTTATCAGGGTTGTTAAGGTAGGGTATCCTAAAATTCCCCACATGCGGGGTGGAGTACGCGGAGAGATTTTTCATACCGAGAGGAGTAACATTTTTCCTTGATCAAAATTGCGTCCGAATACGTCTGGTATCCGAGAAACACTAGATTGAAAAGATGGACTTTCCCGCGAGCTAAGCTTCCAGCGAAGAAATGGGTAAGGAAATGATCATCTTCGGTCAATTTCAAGTAGTACTTTACTCGAACAAAATTTTAATCCAAGGCTTAGCTTCGAAGATGTGTCGTGTTGAAAATTGAAAAGCCACTATCAATAATTATCTATCTCGACATTTTCGCTAAGAAAAACAATTACTTCTTTTGGTATGAAGAATCTCCCTTTACATTCCGTATGCGGCAATTTTAAGGCACCCTATATGAAGAGAAAATACAAAACGGTCCACGGCGAACGGTTTTTCGGATAAACGGCGGCGGGGAACGCGTGTTAGAGGTGACAGATCAAGAGTGTCTGTCATCAAACACTGATTGGTCTAATCGTCGATTTAAAATTGCTGTCAGTCAAATACAATATTATGCTGCTCTATCTCGCTAACATAGATAGAAATGATTAACTTTTCGATTATTATTGCTGAACGCCAAGTTGCAGAATTGGAAATTGGCGTTGGCGATTCTTTTTGTTATTCCTCGATTAGCTTAGTCAGAGTTTGACGGGTCACCCTGAGTCACCTGGTATCATCGGTACTTCATCAAGACCCAAAGGTATTAATAGTGTAGTTATTTGAAACTTACCTCACGTGAGATACTCGGATTTGAATTTAGAATTAAATCTTGCGTGGAATCTTGCGTATTATGCACGTATACATTAGACTTACGATCGCGATTCAACTGGAAGAACTCACATTTAATTCTAAAGTGAAATCCAAGTGTCTCACTTGAGACAAATTCCCGAACTATTAACACGAGCCTAAGAGGGATTTATCTAGGAAATCTACCAATGCGTCTGCGAAACTTGTCAATGAGTGTTTTCCACTTAGCGACACAGGTCGGCACAGGCATCATTTTTGTTTTTGTTCCACATTCAATGAGTAACAAAGATAAGATGATCTTGTGTCGACTTGTGTTATGAAATCGGAAGCACCTAGTGTAGAGATTGGCCTTCGTATTGATTTCTAAACAATCTCTCCCGCGATTCCTTCGAATCGATTTCGCTTCACATTACTCACGCGGCACGCGTGTGTGTGTGTGTGTGTATGTGTGTGGATGTGGACGTACAGTGCGTAATAATAAATTATATCCGCTCTCGTCGTATCGCTCATCGAATAACTTTATTGAAGTCATTATCTGTTTACAGTACAGTCCTCCGTGTGTACTCAACGACATCGACAAACATGCAATCTCTCGTCCTCGTATTGTTGCGATAAACTCTGTACGTCGTGTGTATATACCGCGTGTAAAATAAATTCAACGTCGTTTCGTTCTCTCGATAAATCTCTCCGAGTGTGAAAATTGTCCGCGCGGTCGTTTTACGACATACACACCGGATGGGGCTTCTTTTCTGTTTCGGAAAGGCGGTCACAATTATTCCGAGCTCGGACGTTGCGGAATACACAATATTGGACACAATCGCGGAAACTCGCGCTCGCTCTCTCTCTCTCTCTCTCTTGTACCGTGTGTATGCGTGTGTTGTACGTGTGAGTGACGCGTAGCCGGATATACAGCTTAAAATACACGTACGTTACACCTGCTGCGTCGCAAAGTCGACGAGGACGGAGGTGTCCTCTTGTCTACGTAACTACAGTACCGTGCGCGTCGATTTCAATCGGACATTTCTCTCGACGATTTCGAACGGGCTGTTTCTCCTTCGGCTGCTTGGTGTGAACGCTAGATTTATAAAATGTGGATGAGACCGGCGATTATACGGAACGATTACGTGAAAACGGTACGTTGGAGATCTAAGGACGCGTGTACATCCGTACATTACTCTAAAATGAGATACGGTAGACGCAAGCGTTTGACGACGAGATCTTGGAATTGCGAGAGAAAGAGATAGTGAGAGATAGAGAGCAAAAGTGAAATGGACGATCACCTGCAGAGATTTACTGCAGGCTTTCACGTAATCTACAGACAATCGCTCTGTCGAATGAAGCCAAATGCGCGTCGCGAACAATGACCCTTTTGTAACATTACTCATCGAGCGATTGAGTCGCTGTCCAACGCAATATATCACCGTCGTACGGAAGAAGAAGTCACGCCGTTCTAAGACGCGCGGCGGACTCGCTGCCGCCGATCAAATTTAAGCTGGGCTTAAACATCGCTCTCAAACTTGAAGCTTAAATTTGGTCCATCTACTTCACACTCGAATGACATCGGATTTAAGCTTGGTAATAGATTTTTAAAAGTAACTACCAGGCCCTAGCGTAAAGGACGTGTCGATAGTACCAGGACTCGTTCTACCTTTTTTTTTATTTTTTTTATTTTTTGCTTTATGCTCGGTATCCTTGACCCTTTGAGTGCTGTGAGAACGCATACATGCGCTCGGAGTTCGCTAAGAACTATCGGCATTCAAAAACTTTGCCTATCTGTACGTTTATTCTCTCTCTCTCTCTCTCTCTCTCGGCTTGTTTCAGCAACAGCTTCGGGTTGTGGGTTTTATCACCTCAAGTTTCTATCTCTAAACCTTAAGTTTTTATTCTTGTCGCGTTGCTCCCACACTTAAAGGGTCAGTACTTGAAGGAAAGTTCTCAACAATTGTACGAGACTACGGTATTCTTCGTCGCAAGTGGATTCCCTCGAGCCTCCCCCTTCTGAAGTTCTTCCAGCCGACGTGCTTAGACGTTGTGCTTTTCTTTCCGTTTTTTCTTTTCATTTCCGTGCCGAGGCTCGGTGTCAAAATAAATCTCTTAAAACTGCATGCTCCGTTTCTCCAACAAATCTGCCAACAAGTCACTATTTTTCTTATCATCGGTAACCGTCGCTTGTCGATCGACCAGCGTACAACGACCAACAAAACAGCGCCGAGTGTTTCGCACCGGCGCCGACAAAGCCGCGTCCCAAATATTCTCAGGCGAGACGCTCCGCCGCCATCGCTTCGCCCAGGCGGCGTCGTCCCGATTTGGTAACGGCAGCCAAAAAATTCGCAGCCAGCCTGGGCTGCGTACAAAGGTCGCGAGATTCATATCTCGATAAATTGGCGGATGCTCATCCCCGTGGACGGGGACGCCGCACCTCTCTTCAGCGTATGTCGCGCATACGCACAAACTGCTGGCTGACTCCGACCTCCATGCCGTTACTTATCAGATCAACGTCGCTCGAGATTTTGATTATCTTCTGCTTGAGAAAATCCCCGTCCAAGTCGCACCCTTGCAGGTAGTCGGATATCACGTAGTTGTTGGCGAGCGCGGGCGGTTGATTTTGATTCTGCGGCGGCCGGTTTCGCGAACGCGGTATCTGATCCGCCGGCTCCATCAGGTGCGCGTGCTTCTTGCGCTGGTGTTGCAGTAGCTTCGCCTTAAATTATAATTTACACGTGATAACACTGTTACATCGTAACGTCGAGTTAACATTGAAATAAAGAAGCATTAACTATATTAACGTTAAAATATAATTTATGACATTACAAATTATCGCATCGTCATTGTGGATAAGTGTAAGCTGATACGAGAGGAGGGACCTACTTTGCTGGCATACTGTTTGTGACACCACTGGCAATTCTGAGGAGTGGTAGTGATGCTGCCCACCGCTTGGCTGAAGCTTGGATTCGGTAGCCCCGAGAATTCCGACTCCTTTTGCCGGTTACTGGGCGGCAATGCTGCGCCCGGATGGTTTTTCATAATATGCGCTTTACGTTTGCTGCTACTCTTGTAAACCTGAAAGCACACACATGTGTGAAGCGACAATAATTTCATTTCTTCGCTTATGTACAAATCTGTCCGACGAAACGACACCTTGTCGCAATATTGGCAGTAGTAGTCTCTGGTTTGCCGCAGAATCGGTAAATTTAATTCTGGCACAGACTCCGGAGCGACGTCGGGATGCCGCTTTGCTAGGTGATTCACCAGCATCCCCCTGCGCTTGAAACCCACCAGGCATTGATGACATTTGAAAATGAAGCGATTGTAATCATTCGGATTCACCTGTCGACAGAGTGATTGTGTAACATACAGAGATGTGGAAATATCAATTAAATTCCTGTCATTTCAGCAGATTTCGCTGACACGCACTATCGTGCGTTTACTTCACCACGTACCTTTGGCACAAATTTCTTCTGTGTCATTTGTTCCTCGCCCGTTTGCGGGCTATGTATCTTAGTCATGTGTTCCTTCAACTTGTCCTTCCTCTTAAACCGTCTACCGCAGTTCGCACAATGAAACTCCCTGTGCAAATGAAAGATTCATCGAACCTCTTTCTTTCCTCTATGCATGTGTGAACGTACAATCGTCGCTAGCTATACAAGAATTGGCCCTAGTACCTGTGGTCTGAGTGTTTCAGCAGGTGCAAGCGCAATTTGTCGACCGATGGGAAATGCTTCGCGCAGTGCTGACACTTGTGCTTCCTCTCGTAATGATGCGCCCGGATATGTTTGCGAATAACCGAGTATTTAATGAACGTTCGCTGGCAGTGAGGGCAGTTGAATATACCGTCCTGATTTCTGTGCGTCTCAATGTGATCCTTCAGCATCGCGCCTTGGCAAAACAGCTGCCTGCACATCGGGCACTCGAAGACTTGCTTGTTCTCTGCGAATTGCGTCAATAATTGCGGCAATTAGCGTGTACGAAAGGCGGAGGGCTCGTCTTGTCGTCCTCGCCGGCCGACTCTCTCACCTTTATGCGTTTTCAGATGACAGGACAACGCGGAGTTATTCATAAATCGCTTCAAGCAGATATTGCACGGCAGTGGTTTTTGGTCCTCAGCACCATGCGTCAACAAGTGCTGTTGTAATCGTATCTTCGTAGTAAAACGCTTGTAACACTTTGAACACTTGTACCTACGTAAGGGAGTTAATCTCTTCGCCTTGGGCGGCACCGTACGCCCGTGCTGAGACACGTGATTCGCCAGCTCGCTCTGCTTGTGGAATTCCGATCCGCACTGCGGACACGTGGAGTTTTGATTCTCGATTTTGATCTCGCTGGACAGGTGGACGAGCGCGTGCAAACTAAGCAGAGACGACTTCCTGAAGAAGAGGCTGCAGGCGGAACATTTCCACTCCTTGCGCTTGTTCTGCTGCGAGTTCTCCTTCTCTTTTATGTTCCTGCCGCGGAACACCTTTACGCGTCGATTGTAAAAGTTGCCGTCCAAGCGCGGCCACGCGGGCGTTTGATTGGCGATTTCTGGCGGAGAAGGAATACCCGAGTGAAAAAGAGGCATCGTGACGATGAATGTTCAATGAGATACAAGGGAGACCGGGATTGGCTCGCAGGACAACAACGTTATTACACAATGACGTTTCGTAACATATTATAACGTCTTCGAACGCGTAATGTTTAATGTTGTATGACGTCATTGTTAATAATATTTGACCCAAACATGAAAAGTAACATATTTATACGCTATAATTTTAATATTCGAGAATATTATGTCGTCAAGCAGTTTAGTAACATTTATCAAATATGTTAAAAGATATTTAAATTAAAATCAATGAGTCAAAAAATTGATTTAATGTTTCTTACTTGTTGGGGGTGTCTTATATATGATAACCCACTTGGTAACCGACCTACTTTGTAACTACGACAGTGTCGTTTCCGTTACGTGTTGTCAAGTATAATATGTGGCAGAAAAGCTGCGCAACAGCAATGTAACAATAACGAACATTGTCGTTAAAAATTACAGAACAGGTCTACTGTGGGCTGCCTGTGAATTCGCTCCGGCACAAGAGTAGCTTCGCAGTGATGCTGCACGTCTCGTTTAGAAAGAAAGATAGGTCCACAGAATAGTAGTTAATATGAGAATACAGAGGAAGGTTGTGTTTGTCATTTTTGTAGAATTTCAATCGCAATAATTGGTTGACAGAGAAGTCCCAGCATTCCCGAAGATTTTACGAACGCGTTTTGATTCCCTTAGTGATAATACTAATAGCTCACTTGTACCTTTCTCGTCTTTTGTGTCTGGTCTGAGTATGGGTAAATTCCTGCGAATCGCATAGTCAGGACTAGGACCTGCCTTCAGCTCTTCCTTTGGCGAGATGTTTCTGTTAGTCAGAAACACTATTCCGTCTTTCTGCTGACAGATTATCAAGTTCTGCTCTTTGTATGTCAGTGCTGGTCGCACGAAACGCATCCAATTTGAAGTGTCTGAAAATCACGACGGAGACACGAGAGCTTGACACGTCATGAATCGAAAAATTTCTTTCACCAGGTGCGACTACTCACTCTCGTTGGAGACGTCTACTTTCAAGAATTCGCCACTCTCAGTTTCGTAGAGCAGTGGTAAAGCATTTTCGAATGACGAGCCGTCGTAAGGGCACAGTACGCCTTCTATGGGCCCGAATTGTGTGCGTCTTCGGATGTCACGCTTCGTAAATACTCCGTAAGTCACTCCATCCGCTGCAGCGTGCGAAGTGGATAGTTTGTTTAACGAAAGATATGATCCTGGCAGTGTTGCTACAGCACGCGATGGTACCGGTTGATCCGCGATAGTGCACACGTCGTGCAAGTTACAGCTGTCGTCTTTGGCGCAGTTACCGTCATATTCGTCGCACCCTGTAAAAGTATGCACAAGTATCTAAATAAATTGTACTTCTTAACACATATTTAAGATCAACCGCATGAAATGTGACTGGCGTAACACTTACAAAAGTCTTTCTTGTCCGTTATACGTCGTTTGGATCTCCTTACGTCTTTCTTCTCAATAGTTTTCTTCTTTTCAGACGGAGGCGCCTCTTTGGTGATCTGCTGGATTTCCTTGTCACAGATTTCCAGCACGGATTCATTATTGTCCTCCTTGTTTAAACCTTCCGTTACTGGTGGCAGAGCGTTACAGATTGAAACACCCTCCGATTGATTGTCCTCTATCTCCATGTTTTGATTTTTGAACGTGTTGATGACGTTTATTTGATCGTCCTGCATCACCAGAAAGTCCCTGCTGAGAGCAAAGTCTGTGCCTGCTATTCCCGTTAACATCAAGGGAGTCGACGAAGATTCCAACTCGGGTGCAGATTCTGTAAACGTGATGTTACGCATTCAAGATACACGGCGTACGAAGATATTGTACGATCCCGCCAAAAGCACCAACCATCGGTAACGTAACATCAATGCTATAACTTCCCATTCAACAATGTAACCGTTACATAACACACGTATCGTACTTACATCTTTGAGTGGGAAATTATGATATTACGTTACTGTCAGTTGATTTACTTTACCGGAACGTAATATACATTTAAGATACAACAAAAGCGCAATATAGGGGCACCGTACATCATCTCGAGATAAAAATAAATCATTCCTCACCTTGCATCAAAATTAATTCACTGTTGACACCAGACACCAGCCCTTCTTCGTTCCCATTGTCGACAAAATCCGTGGAAGCATCCGTCTGAGCTACAGCTTGAGCATCGATCGACTGATGAGCCAGCTGAGTTACATAATTAATATTCGTCCTCATATTTGGTTCGGGTTGAGATATCAAGGGAGAGGATGGGCCCTGAAGTACAACGACGGAATTGTGAAAGGGCGAAGACGGCAGTTGGACAGGTGTAGGGGAGTATCTAGCGGCTGAGCTCATGTTCGGGTCGAACGGGCTGACACGATGCTCAAATTCAGACAGAGGGGAAGCTGCCCGCGGGGAGAAGATCTGCTCGTACGTGGGAAACAACCGGGAATAGTCTCGCGGTTGGTCCTCCACATATTCCACCTGTCAGAAGAGCGATCGTTCCAGCATATATATATGTGTATATATATATATGTATATCATTGACAGTTGATCACTGTTATTCAAAACGCTACTCACAGTCAAAAATAGGAGCCTGTTGTTGTTCAGCTTCTTCGGTTGTTCGTACAATGACGAGGAGAACGAGTGATCGGTAGGCCAGTTGACCGAAGTGTCAACTCCCCTGTCGATGTTCAAGGATGTGGCTATCTCGAAGGAATGGCCAGGGGCCCCCTCAGGAGGGCCCCTTGGATCCATCTTACGTTTCGCACCGCACCAGAGGTATGATATCTCGTCGTTCGCACCTGCCAGGGAGTCGCATTCGAAGGTTCTGTGTGAAATGAAAAATTGACAGGGGGCCCTCTCTTTCACCTCAAGCGGCGCAACGTGCGATCCTCGGTGCCGCGAGATCGACGCGAGCAGTCGACGACATCGCGCCAGCAGAAACAGGTGTTCCTTTCAACCGAGACCCCGTATTATGAGCGAGAGAAGACTTACCAGAGCCTCAGCACATAGGTTTCGAAGTCGATGCACCTCTCGCTCGGTGATGCACCCGCTGCAGCGGCACTGGTCCGTCAACAACCGACGATGTCACTTTCGCCCTGCGATTCAGTGCCGTTGAAACGGCGGGAAACTTTGAAACTCGCATCTCGGACCTTCCGAGAATTTCAAGTAACGCTTTAAGCCTCGGTTAATTATTCAAACCTTGAGTAAAATTGCTTCTTGCGTGTCTCCGTTCGTCACGTTTGATTTGGAATTTGATAAATTGCAAAAATTAATATACTTAATTAAACTTCGCGCTACACCTTGAGATCGAAGGAAGAAACAAAAAAATCGTCATGAATTTTTCGATTTTAATGAATGTAATAATACGTTGTGTAATGTAATGTTCGTAGCAGCGTTTCACTCCCCCCTCCTTCCCACGGCCGTCCGTTATTTCCACCCTCCGCTTTTGCCGCGAAACTCATGAATGAGGGCTGGGACATTCACCTGGAGAGTTGGGGGACCGCGACTTTCCTTAACAACAGCGGGGCGGACACGCATAAACAAGACAAGTCTGCGATATGAGAAGCCGATCGATGTAAACGACGAAAGAAGCAACTGTTGATCAAACTGGCAAATATGGTGCAATTCGACGAAGCGAGACAGTTAATGGACGAGATGATGAAGGCGACGATCTTCCATCCGTCCGAGAAGCGTCGGATGCTGGAAGACGATAGGAAAACATTCCTGGATCCGAATCTGATTATGGACGCGAGGCACAGAATATTTCGCGAGGAACTATGCAAATCCTCGAGCAAGGCTGCCATATTAGCAGAAGCTAGAAAGTACGTTCACCGTCAACTTCATAATTCGTAATTATCTATAAATTATGATGAAATATATGAATTTGTGACTTTCTGTGTTATAATTTTTAAGTTTTGGAAAATATAATTTTTTCCTCATTTTTCCGCGGATTTTTTCGGTTTCTATTCCAAGGGTAAGAAAAATTCGTTTAGAAAAATTCGCGTGTATTCGATTGAAATCTGCCACATTTATTTTTTTTCTGTTATAAAGAAGAAACGCAAGAAATCCTTGGAAAAACTGGAAAAGACTGGTTCTTCCGAAACTTTAAAATTATATTAGGTTGGTGCGTATGAAATGTCGCATTCTCTTTACATGCGGACGTTTTCCTCCCTGTTTTCGTTATACTTTTGTATTTGGCATAACCTCATTCATACTCGTATTGTCCATTGCCAGAGACTCATTTCAACAAAATAGGTTTTCTCGAAGGTCTTCCCTTTTTTATTTCTTTTGAGTTTATTACCGATATGAATTCTGCCGACATTCGCGTCATTTTCTTATATGAGTACAAACTTGGTAATAGTGCTGCAAAAGCTGCACGCAACATAAACCAAGCGTTTGGGGAGAATACGGTTAACAATCGGAAAGTGCAGCGTTGGTTCGAAAAATTTCGGACTGGCGATTTTTCACTGCAAAATGAGCCGCGCGGAAGACCCAAAACGTCTGTGAATAATGATGACCTGAAGGCTCTAGTGGAAGCGGATCCAGCCGTATCCACGAGGGAACTTGCTATCAGGATGAAAGTTGACCATACAACGATATTGAGACACCAAATTGTACTCCCATCGCTTGTGAATCGGCATGGCCCGCTACTGCTCCATGACAACGCTCGGCCGCACACATCGCACAAAACAATTGCGAAACTGAACGAACTGGAATATGAAGTTTTGCAGCATCCACCATATTCACCGGATCTCTCGCCGACCGATTTTCATTTTTTCAAGCATTTAGAGCTGTTTTTAAGAGGCAAACACCATGAAAATGAAGACAGTCTAAAAAACTCGATATCAGAGTTTATTAATTCTAAAGACCAAAATTTTTTTAAGACAGGCATCTACGCTTTAAAATCTCGTTGGGAGAAGTGTATTGAAGCGAATGGAGCATACTTTGATTGAATAAACAGCTTTTGAAGAAAGATATACAGTTTTATACAATCACTTAAGAATCCGACATTTCATATGCACCAACCTAATATATATACTTTTTGCCTTGTTATTGTTTATTTCGTTTGCTAAAGAAAATTCTTACATTACAATCATTTTCTCATTGCAGACTACTAACACAGGAAGAAACGAAGGAACAGCAGTTGAAGAGAGAACAAGCTCTCGTGGAAAGGGAATTACGCAAATTTGAGCAGGATTTGCAAAAGTATCATCCCAAATGTTGCGGCCCGTATGCGTGTAGCAAAAAAACTATAGCTAGTTCAAGTGACGAGGGCTTCTGGAAAATTCCCAGTAGAGCCGGAGAGAAGGTGAAATTTATTTTCGAATTAAATTAAACACTTAACAATCTTCGAAATCATCCCGAGCAGCACAAATCGGTGGCTAACCGTTGCCTAATGTTGACCAAACGTCGGGCAACGGTTAGCCAACCAATTTGTGCTGCTCGGAATTAATTCGGATTTACAACCAGACAGAACAGATTTCTAAAAAAAGACCTCTTAAAGAATGCCTGAAAGATATCTAAAAAATAGAATGTCTTTTAGACGTATTTAAGGCATCTTGGTAGAAAAAATTTGTTCCGCCTGGAAATAGATGTAGCAAGCAAAATAAAATGTAGTAAGCGTAATTTCTGACACAATGTGCTTTCCGCGCTGCGGAAAAGTCGCTTAATAACGCTTAAATCTTAGGAATTGCGACGTCTGATAATGATGAAAACGCTTTTTGCTATTGACATTACGTTGTAATTAAAATAGTGCTTACTATACCTATTACGGATCCGGGCTCGCTAAAGAGACAAAAGAAGAAAATAGATTAATAAGCATGATCGCTCGCGCTTATACAGCGGATCGTCGTTAATAAGAGAAGATGCAAAACAGCCGAACGAAAGGTGGCGATCGTCAAGAAGAGGACGTTCGCGGAAGTTTCCGAATCGAAAGATTCCGTGCAGCCTTCGATAAACGAGATCGAGGGAGCACCCTTTGGCACCATCAAAGTGACCATCAAGGATAAGCCAAGCTGCGAGTCGGAGGAGCGACGATCGCTCATCCTAAGATCATGTTTCGATATTTTGCGGGAGAATGCGCGGGACAAGCGACGACTTCGGGAGATCAAGATCAACATCCAGGACATTATGACACGGAGAAGACTGAGGCGATGCATTCGCGTGTGGCGGACACATGTGGAGAATCTGAAGAGGGCTCGACGCGAGGAACACGCGAAAGCGAACACTAGAGATTCCGACGCTCGCAAGATCGACACGCTCATTGGCAATATCGTGGAGATGCAGAAGGAGATGACGAAGTGCCGTAAAATGGAGTCAAAGGATTTCTCTCCGAGCGGAGCGCGAGACGCGAATGCCAAGAAGAGGATTCCATCCTGCAAACCGTTCGTCGTCGAGTCGCCGGCGCAAAATCGGTTGAATGCTCAGAAGGAGATCATACGCAAGCAGAGGATGAAACTGGCCGAACAGAGCAAGCTCATCGAGGATCTGAAGCTGAAGCAGGTACAGGAGGAGATAACAAAGTCCGGCGAGCAGACTGTGAACGCGGCCAAGGAGACTCTGATGCACTGCGGTCAGCAGACCAGAAGAACTCTGATCCAACTGATGAGACAAGCGGGTTACAGGTAGAATTTTTTCTCGCCGTACTCTTAATTCTTTGAAAAATAAAGATGTTTTTAATCATTACAACATACACAGTCACATATATAGGGTGTCCCATTTAAGTCGATCCACGCGATTATCTTCAAAACTACCGGTAATATCGGAAAATGTTTCAGATGAAAGTTAAATGAAGGGGGGGGGGGGGGGGGGCAAANTTTTTTGCATGTGGAGGTGTAAAAAATAAAGATCAACTTCGTATTTTTTATACGGAATCATAGACTATTTACTACATTAATCGAAGTAGCTCTTCATTCACTGTAAAAAATTATTGAAATATCTTGCCAAAAAGTGATCAATTTAGGAGAAATGTTAGTCGACAATCATAAAATTTGCAAAATGCTTAATTATGCATCAATTAATTTCTTAAGTGTTGCGAGAAATACTGTCTCAAGAAAACAATTAATGCGTAATTTATTAACTGGAAAAGAGCAGCGGGGAATATTAATATTAATAATTGGGATGTACAAGATTGATTTGACGTGGAAGGTTGATTCATTGAATACATTGAAGACCTGGAAAAATATTCGGCATGTGCGTTATTACACTGTGAAACCAATATTTTTATCTTTTCATAACTTAAGTCATTGATATCTATAACGATCGGTTCTTATTAACCTTATTTTTTTTTTTATAGTTATCTTGCCTTTATTAGTCACTAGAATGATAATACTGCGTTTGTTTATTCTTGTTAATGTTTGATTGTTTTTTGATTTCTTTGTTTGCATAGTTGCGTTGTATGTTCAATAACCATGTACATTAATTAACTCAGACATCCGACAACAAATTATCACGTATCATTGCTGTGTATATTCTGAATATACAAACGTGTGCAAATTATATAATTATTAGACTTGGTCTACAAAACACTAAAAATTACAACTTCTATTCAAATATATCTTTATTCATTCTTTTTTTAATATTTTAATATTTGGTATGCATTCCTCATGCCGATCTAATAAAAACAAACGTTATTAACTTAATTATTGAAGAAAAGAAGCCCAAGTAAATTTTTTAATCGATAAATGGTTTTTAAAAAATTCAATTTATGTAAGCAAAAATTAAAAACGTTGCAATAAAGATAGCAATTAGCAGGACAAATACAAACAACACAATAACATATACTGGTACTGTCCAGTAATGCTACCAATAGGAATAACAAGAAAAATTCCGTACATCTTATATAAGTAGAATTTTCATTGAGAACGGAATCTATAAATTTTAAATATGAGAAAATTTTACAAAATATATATTCTAATTGTACAACGCAATCATACACGGACAAGTAAGTAATATTAGAGGTTTAGTCTAGATAATTTGCATACGTCTGTACACTCTGCTCTCCTTGCATCTTTTCAAGTTAGCTTGATACGTCGCTCTCTTCACGCATTGATCTTTTTTACGGTTCGCGAACTAGACTACGTATTAAAGAGGAGATGTTCGAGTCTCTGCGCCTTCGTCTCGTGATAAATTAAATCGCGGGTTACGCGAGGAGGGTAGTTGATCGTTTCGTTCTCTCTCTCTCTCTCTCTCTCATTCAATCGTTTACCCTTTACCCGACGCGGCAGGGACAAGTCCTTGACGGCGCCGCTGCGCGTGCCGAGTCCGCCGCAATTTTTGGCGCGGATGGAGGCGCGAGCGGAAGCGCGGAGGAACAGGGTAAAGTCGCGCGAAGAAGCTCGGCGGAAGAAACTGGAGGACGAGAGGAGGCAGGAGGAGGCCGCCCGGAGGGGGGAAGAGCGTGAGAGGAGGAGATCGCAACTAGAGGTCAGATAATATGAGAGGTCAAAGTATATTAATATCGTACCGGATGTGCATCGTATCGTACACTTAGCGCACGCAGCTTTTACCTTGCGAGCAAAATTATCCATCCGCGAGGGACGTCGTCACTAAATGCTACGCCGCGATATACAATATCTTGCGCAGCTTATTCTACATTCTAGCATCGTGTATATAGATTCGAAAACGCCGCTTACACGTTACATTTAGAAGTTTTACGCGACAGTTTGATCTAAGATCACGCCTTTCGCAGGCGCAGCGCGAAGCGAGGAGAATGCGCGAGGAACGGGAGCGGCAGCGGGCGCGCGAGGTAGAAAGGTACGAGAAGCTGAACGCCGCGGCGGAAGCGTTTTATCGCAAGCACCTGTTGCGACGCTACGTAATGCAACCGTTCGTCGCGCTCGTCGAGAGGAAGACCAATAACATCGGCAAAGCGAACGACCATTATGAACGGCGTCTGCTGGGGAAAGCGTTCGCCGGCTGGAGGCTGGAAACGGAACGTCAGAGTCGAATGAAGATCGAGCTGGCCGCATCGTTGTACGACAGAAACATATCGTGGTGCATGCTGCAGCGATGGAGGGGATTCGCGATGGAGGAGAAGAGGAAGGAGCAAGTGGCGAAGGACTTCTCCGACATGAGACTGCAAAACAAATGTTTCGAGCTGTGGAAGATAAGGAGCGTGGAATATAAAGCGGAGCGATTGAGGAGCGAACGCATGGCCTCGGGATACTACGAGGAAAAATTGAAGATAAAGTACTTTTACATGTGGAGAAGATATCCGAAGATAGCGCCGGATATCGCGGAGAGCGAGCGTGTAAAGAATACGTGGCGGGAGATAGTGCAGGAAGTGGTGCCGGATTTCGACCCCAGGCAGAGAGGTGTACTGATAGAGGATTAGTTTGACGAGTTTACACGCGTGTAACGCGGATTTCACCGTTTCAGACCGTGAAACAACCGGCTGGCATTGTATCCGGATAAGGTAAAGAGCAGCCTAAGTATGCGTAAGATGAAGCAGCTTTCTCCGTTTCTTTTTGTCCTCTTCTTCGCAGAATAAAACGTAAATCGTCACTATACACTTTTTGTCAATTTTAGATTCTTCTTCTTCCTCTTCTTTACTTGGGCTCTTGTTTTAGATATACATATATACTCGATTAGTATAATTTATATCATATTACTCGTACACAATGGCCACTTTATCACAGTTACAATAAATATACAAATGGTTTGCACAATGACACGTTAAGAATAATGGTGACTATAAAGCGAGTTGACGTCTCGCGATATGTTGCTGCCACGCGCGGTCTCGTGAGGGCAACGTTACGAGCACAGCGAACATTGCACTCGCCCGAAGTTTACGAAGCGTTAAACACGCAAGTACCTGACATTACACTGAATCGATGGAGCATGGCGATAGGGCCGATGGTAACAAGTACGCTCTAATTTACCGCCGCTTTACCGCTGATTTAGTCGAGTTAGCGCGCCATGAATGAAATCTCTCACGGCCTCAACGATAATTCCCTAGTTGCATCGAGTTTGATTTCGTAATATACTCCTGTACGGAACGTAGTGCACGCACACTTTGCGAAGTGAAATTCGTTAGTCTAGCCTAAACAATTGCTACCTAAGTTTTGCAGCAAAATAACCGTGAGACATTCTTCAATATTCCATGATCATACTGACTCCCGGCGTCCAACCGTCGCTCGTTCGACGTCGTGCCTTGGTAGAGCAACCAGAGGTGATACATGAGATAGCAAAAGACCACTAGACCGACCAGGAGACTGTAGAGAGCGGAGACAAAGCAAAGAGCGATGCTGAAACAATAACGTATGAAGATTTATACATCGATCGACCGGCGGGCGGTAACCAGCGAGCAGTTGCGCGACACCGTTTATCTCTCGGACTTTTGCTCGATCGTTGGCACAAAACGAATCAAGAAATATTACAATATTTACGACGCTAACTCGAAGAGCCGGCAATTATCGTTATCTCGCGATTATTCAAGCCTATGTTACAGATCCCCTGTACTTTTCCAGTTTACTTTACTAAACCGGTGATGCATCAGTGACATCCAATCGCGCTTTCCGTGGCGATATACGTGCGTACTTCTCCTTTTGTCACGGATTACTTTCTCACAATGTCGTATCCAGCGTGTTTTAGTGTTCTTGGTGCGTATCAAAGTGCAGAGACACTGTGAATTAATACGTACTCTAACTGGTGATACACGTCGCTGCAGTCATCCGGTAGAAGTACAGTCCCGATGAGAATGAATGGATGACAGACGCTGGTCATGGTCAGGTTGGAACCATAAATGAAGGCGATCGCAGAAAAGAATAAACAGCCTAGGTACCACCTTAGGTTGCTGGAACCTATGCAGCAGTCCAACCTGGGAAGTGTGACCAATTAAAGTATTAAAAATAACAAAATCCCCAGCAAATAAATCGTCAAATGCTCATGTATCAGAGTGATTTTTCAAAGAAGAGAAAATATCAAAAGGAGAGGGGGGAAATATGAATAAAAAGAAGTGACGTTCCTGTCATACCATTTGCAATGATATTCCCTGTTAAGTATACACGTCTGGCACAGGCGGCAGTGATGGGCCCTGGGTGGCGCCCGTCTCCTGCACGCGGTGCAGAGCTCGCCGCTGCCTTCGCCCAGCTCCAGACCCTGCACGAGGACGCCTTCCTGCGCCGCGTAGTCCGCGTTCAGCTTGGCCCGATAGCCGCACCAGATACCACCGATCACGCACACCATGAACAGCAAGTTCTCCTCGGGCAGGATCTCCAGCAGCGGCACCACGCTGATCTCGAACACGAGCATCAGCATCAGCACGCTCGTGATCGTCCACATGAGGAAGAACTTGGTGCGCAGCAGGAACCGCAGGAAATTGTGGTACAGGTAGTAGACGAGGATCGGCGTGGTCACGAACACGATGATCGTGCAGAGGACGGCCTGGGCGGCGATCACCGCCAACGTCGGCACCACTACGAGTGGCAGCATCGCGTCCACGGAAATCTGCTTGGCACCGGCGCGCCAGCCGCATGGATTACGCAGCCTCTCCCAGACGGTCATGCTTTAAAACTCGGCGAACAAAAACGCGCTCGGGAACTCGGTTCACTCTGTCATGAGTGAACGGGATGACTGGGTGATTTCTAGGTTAGGTTAGACTCTCGGCGCCATGCTGTCATCAACGTTCGCCGCTCACCGGGCCGTCGGTGACGTGAGGCGACGCGTTATTCGTCCTTATGAAGAGATAATTCAGGAAAGCGTGAGCGATCACGCAAAATCGAGTCGACAGACGTACGGGCGAAGATCAAGTGGCAAACGCCATGTTGTTATCGACACTGAACTATGGTAATATCGGGATGTGCGCACTTATTCAATTTCATGAGCCGAGAGCGAAGCGGGAGAGAGAGAATATGAAAACTATTGTGGCCCTTCTCGACATATTTTCTGCGCGTGCTCAGTTCCATTTGATTCCCTTTGGTATCACTCGGTTTAAAAGCAAAGCGCACAAATAATTTGCTTCCAGTACGAGCGAAATTTTATACTTACAATGATAAATTTCAATATTAATTAAAAATAATACGATACATCTTTTAAATAGATCTTGCAAACTCCTTTCTTAATCATTGGAACTCTTCTCTTAATAATTATGTCGAATACGTTTTACATTAGTATATTTTTAAGCCGCTAATTATTAACTCATTCTTATCGATAAAAGTGCTTTAAGTGTGAACTTGCCAGCCAATCAGATGGCTTCTCAGCCACTTTTAGAGGCACTTTTATCGAGTGTAATTTATATAAAAGTAAATTCAAAATATGAATCTATGGAATCGGTTTGACTTTTTCACGAGATTGTACAACAAGAATGGTGCGTTAGTAGAGAAACATCTCTCTCGGTTCGCTCGGCGCGTTTCGTTCCCAAGCAGAACAAAAATACCTAAAAACGCCTTAAACATACCTAAACGACGTATTTTATTTCTTAGATAGATCTTCTTAGATCTCCCAAACGTCTTCAAGAAGTCGCTCAGAAATTTGTTCTAGCTGGGTTATTATTATAATTTAGTAATTATCGAACATTACACAATAAATCGTCACTTCGAGAGCAACATGGCGCCAACTGTATGCCCGGAGCAGGTGGTAATGCGTGAATTCGAATTCGCGAATATCGCTGATTGTTTACGGAGAAATCTCAGCTGCTATAACATGTCACTCCATTCGTCAGAACACGTCGAGCAGCTACGTCGTCGTCCACTTGGGGGTTATCAGGGGATGAGACACGTTCCGCCTCCGAAGGCGCGATTTTTCGAATCTCGCGCGGAATAAATCGCGAGTGCGCGCGAGAAGAGCGCCACGGTGCGGCTCACAGTCGAAGCTGCACGACGATGGAGATCCACGTTGTTGTTTGAAGGATCGGCAGTCGGAGCAAGTCGGCACGGCGCCTCGTAATGAAGCACTGATCCAGGTACGCCGTGCGATCGGCCGCGTCTCAGCAGCCGAACGACCATTCGACGCATCCTGAGGAGTCCCACCCCGACGACCGGCTTCGTTTAGCTTGCTGACAGATCCAGTGAGGACCGTAGATCTTGCGTGCATCATATCAAGCCTGTTCCTTTTAACTGCACTTGTTGCACTGCCGTGTTGCACTTGCTCCCTTTAACACACCGACTCGTATGACCCACATTCGGAATTAGATAATTATATACTCGAAAATTGTGGGGGGGGGGGGGAGATCGAACGGTCGAATAAACGAGTTGAAAGGAACAGATTTGAAGGTTGCGTTGTCGTACACAGACACCCGTTCGTTCCGGTTGTATTGCTTTGTACCTTTTGTATTTTGAACAAGATGTATGTATGTGGTCGATTCTAGTCTGCGTATTTATCTTGGCTGTGCTTTGCGTATTTAGAAAGGACGGAAGAAAATGTCGTTGAAAGTGTGAAGTTGGAAGTTTAACGGATTCCTTGCGAGTTCCTTCGAAAGATTCAAAGACGAAGGCTCTCTCAGCTGATGTGAAGCGCGCGAATGAGAAACGGCAATGGCGGGAATGTGACATAATTGAAAATCTTAGGTCGTAGAGGATAAACGGGAGAGGGTAAAGGAACGTGAGGGGGGGGGGGGGAAATCGCTCATCGAGAATTTATTTTTAATTACTGACTTTGTGTGGTAAGTGCACCGAAGGTTAATCGTTATCGGTCTCGGTGATTTGTTGTTTATCGTAACGTCGCGCGGGAGTCGTGAAAAATCTGCGCCACGATAATATAATTAAACATATGTTTTCGCGAGAAAAGCCACACGCAACCGATTAAACCGCCGAGACTTTCATAAATCCGAATAACCTGATGATTTAATCAAATATAAAAAAATCACTTTAACGTGTCTTCAGCCGAACACAATTTTTTTCCTCGGACCTGAATTCGTGAAGTGGAAATTATCTGATTTGACAAATATTTCGCTTTTCACGTTTTTGCCTTGGAGGAAGTCACATGGTTGATATCTTAACGCGAATTCGTGAAAAGTGTAAATTTCCTAATTTCACTTTTCACGTTTCCACCCTGAAGGTAAAGTTACACGATCGAAAGGCTGATCGAAATATTTTCGATATTGAAGACCCACATGTCGAAGCGATTTTTATACGTTTCTCCTTGACTTTTTACGTTTCTCGACTTTCTCCGACAATGGAATTACGATAGTAATCTTCCAAAAATCGGAGCGGAATTATAAATCCCGAAGCTACTAAAATTGCAACGTCCGATTTTATCGCCTCGCTTATTTCTGGATTAGCAGAAGCACTCGCGAGACGCGACTTTCGATCTTCTCCAGGAGAAATGTGTCGTATCACCGTGTTGTTGATTTATCTCACTGCTAGGCAGACACTGAAAAATTGCTCATGCCTTTAGTGCACTATTATCGTCTCGTCGAGGGGACGAGAGTTGATTAAAGCACGACGGAGCAGAACTTCATTAAGATAATCGGCCACCATAATAACCGACCAACTGCGAGAGTTAAAGATTGATCGACAATTACGGCTGCGTGTGGCTGTTGCGCATTGAACTGCTCTCAATTGTTTGCACGTGTTATTGCGATTATCGCTGTTTGCCGTGCTTACGGCAACACGATTGTCTCACGCCGCGGGTGGGAGAACGCGGTGTTCTGAAGATTGTCGATAACTGTATCTGAAAGGACTCTCCTCGGTCGCAATTAATACAACACTCGATATTCCGGGTATAATTATAAAGGATGTAACTTCACGTAACTAATTGTGTGGTAATTTCAGCAATTGGCCTCGCATTTTCGACGATGCAATACGAACGACAACAAAAAATGAAATCATTCGAGGACTATGTTAATCATGTTGTTTGAATAATCTGCGGAAAATTCAGAATCAAATTATTATCGACAATTATATCTGAGAAAGAACTCTTCGATCGCAGTATCCTTATATTCCGGATTGAATTATAATTATATGTAGAGGGTGTAAAGTCATCTAATTTTATGCCAACAATTGGTCACGCATTTTCGATAATACGAACGGCAACGAGAAATGAAATCAATCGACGATTATGTTAATCACGTTGTCTGTATAATTGTCCGAGGAATATTCAGAATCAATTGGTTGCGATGTTCGCGATAAATAATTGACCGTGAAGATGAATAACACATAATCGATTGTTACAGTAACGGGCACTTGTTACGATCGAGAATCTTCTACTTAATGTCTATAAAGTAACGGCGATTGGTGATTATCAAATTGTGTACAAGAGCGATTCTACATTAATGATGTGCATCTTTTTGCGAGTGATTAACGAGTGTCTATCTTTAGGAGCCTGTTTTCACGAGCCAGTTATCGCTTATATCGCGAGCATCGCATACACACCACGATGTGTTAACGTAGTTGCTGATTTCTTTCCGCGTTTGTCGATAGGTTGCCTCTACAGGCCAAAGGTACATGATTCATAAGTTTTTTCGTCACGGCTGAGAGAAAGCGATTGACGGCGCCGGAACGGGAGGCTCGACCACCGATTTCCCCTTCCTCGTGAACAGTCGCTACATGACACGCACCCTGAGAACTCGTCGACGGCACGAGCTACGAACGGGAGAAGCGTATTCATTCGTTGACGCGCGCGGGTGAGCACCGGAGGGGACCCTTGTGTTAGGGTCGATCGCACCGGCGCGATAAACTCGATCAAGTAAACATTATGGCCCATATTCTGAACTCTCTCTATCTTCCCCCCCCCCCCCCCCCCCC